CCAGGCTGACAGCTTTCACTGCACACAGACCTGGGGGGCTGGGGAAGGATAAAGCAGTATGTTCTTTGTGAACAATATCATATGTTTGTTTTGGATAACAGCATGCATGATTTTTTAAAAAAATGTTCAATATCTGTATGTATCAATGAATTATCATCAAATATTAAAGTTCATTCCAATTGGCCATAGTTTACAGATCTTGGCAAAAAAAAAAGTATCTGTGTTGACTGATGACTAATCCATTTTAAAGGTTTGCACATTTACGCATGTTTATATATATATAACAAGAGACAATGATATGTAAAACAGTGAGCAAGAAAAGCACTATATGAAAAACAGCACATTTTAGTCTGAACACAACGATTTACCCATGTTTTGTTTCCAGTATAGAATTGCTTTTTGTTTTTTTGTTATACCCACCCGATTTTGGAATTGCCAAATACAGTGCATGTTTCTCATTTCTCTGCTAAGAACAATATGACATCATACAAGAGAGAATGAAAAGTCTCCTCTGCGTGGCCCACCATCAGGCCTCTCATCTTTGAACACAGCAACAGCTCAAGGGGCTAACCCACCATATTGTAAGCACAATTCCTTACAGGATTAGGAATATGTTCTATTCTCAACCTTTAATCTTTAGAATCCTACTTTCTAAGATATATTTGCGCCAAGATAAAGATTCGGCATCAATTGGAGCAGAGAGGGGAGGCACATCCCTCCACAAACCTGCAGGAGAAATCTGTGAAATCTGTCTGATGCTGACTAATCCCACTCTCCTCTCTGTGTTGCACCTTCAGAGCTTGAGCCACACATTTAACTCCAGTCAAGCGAAATATGTTCAGTTAAAATTCACCTTGAGATGAAAAAAAAGTTCCAGGAAAAAATAATACCTAGAAACTGACAGAAAATTGAAATCACTAGGAATTGAAAAACAGCATACTTAATATGCGAGGAAAATAACCAAAAATACAAAACATAGTTAACTAAACCTAAAGATCATAACACTTAAATCACTTTTTGGCAAATTAACATGGATATTTTAGAATAAATCTGAAATAATCAATACTGATATGGATTGACCTACACTGTTAGATTCAAAGTTCCAGAATATTTTGTCTTCATTCAGTGTGAGCTCTTGTCCAGCAGGAGCTGATTCATCAAACAGACCGATTGTTACTGTTTTCACAGACCCGTCATCGGCCCTCTGCCAGTTCATCACATCATAGATTGCAAGAGCATCTCCGTTCTCATCGAAGGACACCCTGTCTCCATAGTGAGTAGTGAAGTTCACTCTCGCCAGGTAGTGCAGCAGCTGGGAGGGGGGAAAAAGGCAGATACAAATTATTAAATGATTAAGCAAAAAGACAAAATGGGTTTCTACAATATTAACAATAGAAACCTCATACTGGAAATAGAATGAATGTATTTAAAACATTATTGAAGCTAATAACAAAGGAACACAACAAGCAAGTTCATTTTTTATCTTGTATAATTATTTGACAAGTTTGTTCAGAATTTGACAAATCTGAATGATTATTTCAGTATATCTTTCACCTGCCAGGGCTGCACAGTTGTGATTTCTGCACAGGAGTTATTCTGAAAGGGCCCTTTTCCAGGCTCACAGGACATCAGATTGTGCAGGGAGTGTGCCAAGGCGTACACTGCTTTATACACGTTGTAGGAAACCCGTAGTTCTGAAACATCACTGTAAGACGTTTTGGTTTTTTCAATATCTTCTGAACCTGTGCAGATTTTGTTGTCTTCCAAGTTTGACAAATTCCGATTCTTTATTTCATTATGAAATTTGCAATCAAATATCTTTTCCCAGAACAGTTTGATTAAATTGTTCCTGGAGTCAAACACAGGGTAAATCTGAAGGAGAAATTGTTCCAGCCCTGGAACTTCTCCTCTGCGAACTGCAATTCCTATAGTCCCACCTAAATAGGGCAGTAACTCCTTAGTGTGGAAGACAGGTGAGGCAGTCCAGGCTTCACTAGCAATCCACTGTCTGCCTCTGATTTCTTGCCGAACAATTTCTTCTGCCAATGGAATTAGATAAGCTTCTGTTGAAAACACAACAATAACTTTGGCCGTTGACTGTTTGATGGTCATGATGATCTTAAGAATTTCAGACTTGTCATTGTTACGAGGGAGGATTTCAGAGAAAGCTATGCAGCCAAATTTATTTACTTCTTCAATAAAAGTCTTGGCTGCATACAGCCCATAGTCATCATTGCTCACAATTACACCAATCCAAGTCCACCCATAATGCCTGAGGATTTGAACCATGGCTTTGACCTGGAACGTATCACTGGGAATAGTCCTGAAGAAAGAGGGGAACTCCTTTCTATTGCTTAGGCAAGAGCAGGTGGCATAATAACTGACCTGCAAATGAAAGAACAGAAATATAATTCAGGAAATGAAAAATAAGAAATACGTTAGCTTTTAGTTTTAAAATTGGAATAAAAAATTCTGTATTCTGAAATACACATTTAAATCTGTTTCAATAACATGTCATCGCATACTAAACAGATTTTAGAGTCTGTCAGAAAAGAAAATGACAATACAGTTATGAAAACAATAAACAAATCCAATCGTCTTCTAGCCATTTAAACCAGGGAGGCTGAGTCTGATTTTGCTAGTAACCGACACAAGGAAGGTTACACCCTTCACAGGATGCCAGTCCATCACAGGGCACACAATTGACACAAACGTACACGCACTCATGCCAGGGACAATTTTACCAGAAGACAATTCATCTACAGTGTCAGCTAGTCTTTGCGCTGTGGGAGGACACCAGAGCACCCAGAGGGACCCCAAGTGAACACAGGGATAACATACAAACTCCACATGGATAGCACATGGAATTACAGATTAAACCCCGCGTCCCAGCCTGCTGACGACCGTGCCCCCCAACAGTTTTATAACCAAATCTAAAACTTTCAATTGATTTACAAATAAAAGTTCCTGAGGACTACTAATCTGATTATTGTTTTACCCCATACCATTGGAACCCCAAAGAGGCCCAGCATTCTTGACATGGCAATAGAATGTGTAGAACCAGGATCCCCAACAATGGCTAAGACAGGGGGAGTCCCTGTACAGCTGTAGTCAGTGACAGAATCATCCTCTCCGCTGATCAGAGCTGTTGCTGCTCGAAAAGCCACTGCCAGCTTCACACAATTGTCATACAGCCTGTATCCCAGTGTGATGTTAGGAAGAAGAGCAGGGTCTCTGTTTATTTCCTCAATAGCAAAAGCCATGGTCTGTGCCCACTGAAATCCTGCAAAATCAAAGCTGACAAAAGCCACACTAAGCAGCAAAATAAAGCAATAGAATTTGACCTGTCTTCATGTACCATGCTGTCTACAAAACACTTTTTTAAATATGATATATTCACTTGGAAATATGCATACAAGTCTGAAGCAAGAATGAGTTTCCCGTCAAGATAAATTATGACATACAGTAAATAACTGCAAGTAAATAACTTCCCGCAGTTACTACTCATTTTCTTACCACAAGAAATAAAAACATTTTTAAATTCACTTTTACACTATCTATTTAGTGTGTAATCCAAATCCTGCTCATATGTGGATTATACTTTACCTCCTGATATAGAAAATATTTTATTGTTTCAGAAAACTGTGTCCCAGACATTCTATCAAGGAGCAGCACAATATGGTCACTCACCGCTCACAGCTCAATGGCTCAGGCTTAGCAGTAAAAGACAGTTCAGGATACACTGTTATAAAGTGGATTTCAAACATTCCACCCAAAATGATATCCCCTTCTTTATACAGCCCATACAAGTCAAATTCTTCTCTGAGCCTGCATGTATGCACGACATCAGTGTCTGTTAAGCACAAAGATAATGTAATAATATAAAGACCAAACAGCATTGTTTCAAAACTAATGATCCTGCCTTGTTCCACTAATCAAAAACACCTCTATATAGACAATGTGTGATTCTCTGGGGACGCATGTAAATGACATCATTGTAACCGTTTAGTGGCTGGGAACTTTAGCCCACAAAATAGTGTTTCTATTTTTTACCAGGAAACCCACAGCTGTGTATTATAGATAATCTAATGTTCGGTGCTTCAGTGGGCAACCTGTTTTTTTTAATAAAATCAAAATTGATTTTGAACACCTAGACAAACATCACCGGAAGACTTGAGCAAAATAGGTTATGTAAAAGCATTTTAATATCATATGCAAATCAGCCAAATCTAATTTAGTGAGAAAAACTATTTAAAGTGAAAGCACAATCATTACAGTATAAATATTCATGAAATAAGAGAATATTACTAAAAGAAAATATGTAAACATTTCTGTTCAGTGTAAACGTCAGCCACATATTTGATTCTCAGTTTATAAAACACAGAAGCATGAAAAATGTGAAGCTGAAAACCTATTTGCATTGCACTGGATTTATTTGAAAGGAAGGGGCCCCTAGTGGAGATCTAGAACAGCTGTAACAGACAAGTTCACACAGTAAAGAAGGGGTGTCCTGAGTAA